GGCGGGCGGCGGTTGCCATGGACGCTCTCGCACTTAGTAACCGCAGCTCCCGGGAGACCCGGAGGCGGAGGGGCGAGGGGTGGTGGGTCCCCTGCGGCGCCTGATTCCGAGCTCTCCCAGCTGCGCAGAGCTCGGTGGCCCATCCTGGGGCGCGGGATGCTGACCAGCCCCCGCATCTCCACCGTCCGCTGCCCAGCGGAGCTTCTTCCATGCTGGGATTATCTAGTGATCTTCCCACCCTTCCTCGCCCTCTGGAAATGATCCGGGGCTTCCGTAAACAGTAGCCTTTACTGTTTCGACGGGGTGCCGGGCCACGTGTCTCACACACATCACTGTTCTCCCAAGCAGCCGCTTCACAACCGTGCGCTGAGAGCTTACGATTTACATGGGGAACTGAAGCTGGGAGAAGCTCGCTGACTTCGGCAAGGTCACCCAAACAATAAGCGGCAGAGCCAGTCACGAAAGTCGGATCTGTCAGACTTCAAGGCACTCTTCCCACGAGCCAGCAGCCTCTGTGTGCAAAGAGCAGCAGAACTCGGGAGCTCTGACCAGCGCTAAGAGAATGAAGCCCCCAGTTAATCATTCTCGGTGTGTCTGGGAACCCCTGGGTAACACTCCACCAAAGGGTGATGCTGAGGCTCTTGCTGCCAGGATGAGGGGGTCTGGCCAGTTCCTAACAGACCTCAGTGAAGTGATTACAGGCTGGGGCCTCCACTTTGCCAGTTCAGAAGGCTGGTTGTGTGTTTTCCGGGTTTATTAGGCGCTACCTCAGGCTGACTGAGCCTTAAGTCCAAAAGCTGCAATGCCACCACTAGGGTTACATGAAGCAACGTGGCACCTCTGACGGTGGAGACAAATGCAGGATATTTTTTGGCACTATACTGTTTTACTTCAGTCCTCAAACAATATAAAGAGGTAACAACGTCTGATGCCAAACCACACAAGTAATCACAAAGGAAAAAAAATACTAACAACCACAGACAGTCATTTCAAGGTGTTTCACAGCAGTACTCTGGCAGTACCGGCAAGGATTTCTGGCCAACGGCTTCCAGCAACCCCCTGATCTTAGGGAAAAACAAAAACAAAAAAACACATTTTCTCCCCAATCATTTACACACTCTGAGACACTACACACCACACCACTACACTCACCAGACTTTTGTAAATCACATCTAAAAACATAAACTACATGTTGCACTCGATCACAACAAAGACTGAAAAGAAACGGTGTGGCAGGAAAGTAAACAAACTCCAAAGTTTCCAGTCAGGGTAAAATATTCTGCATTTATACTCTGCACATCCACAGACCAACATCCAATGACGAAAAGCTAAGCATTAGCATGGTCACAAAACTGGACACGCCGAGTCTAGGCTCCCAGATGCCACCCGGGCACTGCCGACCTTGTCCTGTGACATTTAGAAAAAGGAAATAGAAAATATTGCCTCTGTAGCCAACCGTGTCTAATCTGCCTGTTCTTTCTAAATTATTTCAATTCCATAATTCCATTGTTATGGCAAGTCCTACAGGGAAATTGGAAATACTTGCATTGTCAAAGGTGGGAGAGGTGATAAAGAACATTTGCAGTCTAAATTTTACAATAACCTAAGTTCTTGAAATACATTCTTTATCATTGTGCTTGGAAATTACCCAGAAACCAATCTGGGACATTTTATTCCAACTTGCAGTCAGTGACATTCTTTCCCTTGACTGTTGTGCTGAGAATCAGGACTTTTGGAAACAACAGTGTCTATCTATCACTGGGTATGGGACCCAAATGGACTTAATGCACAAACTGTAACACTAATGGTTACAGAAAAGTGCATCGTGGAGGATTTATTGGGAAACCTTATTGAGCGTGTGATGCATTCATTGAGAATTTTATCATTGACAACAACAGTCAGGTAATATCAGTTGTCAATGTTCTGTTTTGCTTACGTTACTAGGGTTTTTTATAGGGTGGGGTTCACCATCAGCTTTCTGACTTGAATGACTTTTTCATAGCATGAAATTGCAGGGCACACCTTGTTGGGAGTATTTCCAGAGAGTCAAGGTCCACAGACCTTGTCACGTTTACAGATCATGTTCTAGCTCCCTCATTTAGCAAGCGAGGAGCTGTGAGTCCAGAGGCTCAATGATGTGCCGAAGGTCACGTTTTTGTTTGCAAAAGGAAAATGATGGCCTCCCACCGGGCTCTCTTTTTTTGTGTTTCCATTGGGATCATTATCTCACTACCATGTGTTTCACATCTTGCATCCCCCATGAGATTATGTCCCTGGGAGTGACAGGAACCACTTGCTCTGTGCCAGCCTCGTCCACATCATTTATGACCCTCACCACAATCCCACAAGGCTGGTATTATGAGTCCCTTTTTACAGGGATTAACAGGCTAAGTAACTTGACAAAGATCACGTTAGCCAAGACGTGATAGAGTTGGAATCCAACCCAGATCTGTCTGCCCCAAAGCCCAGGGTCTGTCCCCTACAGCAAATGGCTCTGCTCCTTCCTGTCCATTCTCCTTTTATCCTCAGCACCAGACATCCAGCCTGGCCTATGGTGTACTCCTAGTGCATGTTTGTTGACTGAATGAATGAGCACTTGGAGAAAGAGAGATCAGCAGCTCTCCCAGGTACTTACTGGACATGTGATAATATGCAAACCCCCAAATCCCCATAGAATGGGGACATGGATGTTTCACTGGCCTGAAAGAAAGAGAAGCCATCAGATGCTCTATTGAAATCCTTCCTAGAAAGTAGATTGAAATCCAGATGCTCAACTGTGAGTTGTTCTGGAAGAGCTAAGAGTACTTAGCCCATCTAAGGGGAATGACACTGCTACAGGGACGGGCAACTGGACGGCTTCTCCTTCTCCCTGAAAGAAATAAAACTGAAGGGAAAAGCAATCCGTGTTGGAGTCTCCAGGTAATGTGTGTTAGGGAATATTAATCAACACATGCCCCAACAGCTAAGATGGCTAAACGATGCATTGATCTCCGTGACCTAAAGTCTTTTCTTACATGATCAGGGACAACTCTGAAATCTAATCTTAAAGCTCTGTGTAGAAGGTCCTGGTATTTATTGACAGTCCAACGTCATTAAGTAACCATCATCAACAGTAAAGATGACTCATGCGAAGAGACTGACCCTCTAGAAAAGAAAAAGACAAACGCACATAAACACAAAACAGAAAACGGACTCCAGACATAGAATACAGACTTGTGGTTGCCAGTGGGGCGGGGGGTGGGAAGGGACAGACAGGGAGTTCAAAATGTGTAGATACTGACAGACATACGCAGAATACATAAACAAGATTATACGGTACAGCACAGGGAAATATACACAAGATCCTGTGGTAGCTCACAGTGAAAAAAATGTGACAGTGAATGTATGTAAGCTCATGTATGACTGAAAAATTGTGCTCTATGCTGGAAAGTGACACAACATTGTAAACTGACTATAACTCAATAAAATGAAAGCTTAAAAAAAAAGAGCCTCTAAACGAAGAGACAAAGACACAAACAGGACACTTAGTAGGCGCAGAGGAGAAGGGGGAGTTTGGGGTTTAAAGTTAAGAGTCATACAATGGTTAAGTGTTGGTATAGATTATACTTCCCGCTCTGCATGAAAACACAGGACTACATCAAAGCTACTTAAAAGAGCTGCAGCCATCGTCTCCCTATGATTCTGCAAAGATTGTACTGTTTCTAAAATGTGTCTGTTACAAGCAGAGAGAGAGACTAACAGGTCTGAGTCAGCTGGTTTTTATCAGCAATACACCACATTTCATCCAGATAAGCCTTTATTAGTTAAGAAAAATTAGCTTCTGAACTCAGCTACCACTGGGAGGTGGTTGAGGTTTTGTCTAGGAGATAGAATGTATCAAAGAGAGTCAGAGAGGCAATGTCTCCAATTCACTGGACTGAGATCACTCATACAGTCACTGAACATTTTTCTATCCCTTGGCATTCAAGGCAATGAATTAGACAGGTAACTGGTAGTGGTTTGTCAGAACCAGTTTATACTGGCTCAGAAGAGCCCATCATTAAATGTGCAGGAATTTTGCAAGCCAATTATCAAAGTCATTATTAAAAACTAAATTATATAAATCTATAATTAAATAAATTATAATGAAACAATGGCAATAAATCTCAGAACATCACTTTCTCATTCTTTTACAATGTTTTACTCTTTTTCAACCTCTTCAGTTTATTTTCATCTGTTGTGTCTTTATGGTGGAAACACATAATGACAGTACCCCCTTCCCATTTTTAAGTGTAACGAATCACATTGGTAACCTGAAATTGGCCATGAGGGAGTATTTAAACCATGGAAATCACCAAACGCTCCAGATCAAGGCTTGATTTTTTGTTTTGTTTTGTTGACTGTCTAGACTCAAGAAAGTCAGAGAAAATACTATACAGCAGATTAAACTTTAAAAATGTCTTGGGTCTACAGCCATTACGTGTGACAAGCAAAAATACTGAAGCTACATTCTTTCGGCATTTGAAAACAAATATGTGATTCAGCAAAGAAGCTGCTCATGTCCTTAAAGGAAATTTCAACACATGTTACTCACGAACACAAATGAAAACGTTGACCAACATTCAAGTTGTATCTCCTCTTGTGCATCCATTGCAACGAGAGGTTGGCCAGAGATGAAAGAACATCACAAAAATCAGTCAAAGCATTCTGTGAGAATCAAATGGCTGTGTGGAATTTACAAGGCAGAGTATTGCGCATTCTATTATCATTTATAAATTGTGTGCTATGTATCCTTTATATCCTTAAAACGTATAATAAACTTATGTATGTGTATATGCATACATTTTCCCCAGAGATCCAGCCGTTAAATGTTCACAACCCTGGCACT